ATAGTGTCAAATAAGTTGGCAGTACACATCCATTAGATTGACAAAAATTAAAATGTCAGACAATTCAAGTGTTGGAGAGGATGTAGAGCAACAGGAGCTTTTATATGTTATTGTTGTTGGTTATATAAATTGGTACAATTATTTCAAAAAATTCTTGCATGGTCTTGTAGAGTTGAAGATAAACATACCCCATGGACCAAGAATTCCATTCCAAGCTAAAAATTCTATAGAAATCTGTGTTTATGTGCTCCAGGACCCCCTCCCCCCCAAGTATTGTTTATAATAGCCCACAGCTTGATACAGCCTATATGTCCATCAATGTGGGGTAGATAAATAAATTATGGTGTATCCGTGCAATATAGTAATCTAAGCAATGAAGATGAATAAACTACAGCCCCATCCCATGACTGAATCTTAAAGACATAACATTGATCAACAAATTTTAAGATGTGTAAAAAACTTACTCTGTATTTCCATTTACGTAGAGTTCAAAAACAGGCATAAACTATATTGTTTAAAAATGAATAATTAGGCAGTAAAGCTACAAAGGAAGTGAACAATTTGATAATCATGATAGTGGTTACCTCTGGGCACTTGGGGGTTAAAAGGGAAAGGGCACATTGGGGCCTTTTGGAGTGTTGGTAATGCTCTACTTTTTGACCCAGTGGAGTTACATGAGTGTTTAAGTCATAGATTTAAGTAGTATACTCCTGTTTTATGAACTTTTCTGTTTGCTATATTTATAATCACAAAAAGATAATTCTTATCTTTTCCCCCCATTCTTTCTGATTTGTTCTCCAGTTAGAAGCATCTACAGTGCCTCATAGAGACTTAGAGTTGCTATAGCAAGACTACAAAGAGAACAAACAGTTCAGTCTTTAAAAACAAAAACACTTCCAAAGTAGGTTCTCAAGAATGAAAAAAAAAAAAGTTTTTCTGAGAGTGAAACAGCATTTGACCTTATTTCTCTCCCAGCCCTGACCAGATTAGCTAAAAAAGTACTGAATTGGGAGGAGTACATGGGACATAACACTGAAGAAGATGGGGAGGCCAGAGAGGGAAGGGTGAGGTTCGATGGGACTAGTGGAAAAACAGCATCAGGGTGGGCTGAGTGCCATTTCAGTGGACGGGAAAGGAGGCTTGGGCTAGAAGCCAGGAAAACTGTTATCAGAGCAGCTTTCGAGGGCTGCCTACAGCCTACATATGTATCATCCAGCAAAGGACACTGGCTTTGAAGTTGTGGACTGTACAGTCTTCCTCTCTCCATTCCTCCCATCCATTATATTCTTAGAGATTTTAGTCTGCAGGGCCCAGTAATCTATATATTAGTAAGCACTGTGGGTAACTCTTATGCAGGTGGCCTCTGGTACTGGAGCACCATTGCCCAGGGAAACTCCCACCAGTGGCACTGGTTAAAAATCCAAATTTATGGGCCCCATACCAGACATGTAGAATCAGAATTTCCAGAGAAGGGGTCTGAGAATTTGCGTGTTTTGTTTTTTTTTAAACAAAGACCCCAGGTGATTCACACGGAAGTCTGGGAAACTGCTTTTGAGACTTCTACTTTTGATTTTCTGTTTTTCCACAATGTACTTAAAAACATCTGTTTATAATAATTGTATTTTGAAAAAATAAGTGCCTTGTGGAAAAGAACAGATTACAAACTGTAAAATGTTTTTTCTCCAGTTTAGATTTCTTCTCAGTGCTTAAGATCCATAATCTGTTTACAAGACACCTCTCCTTGCAGTTACAGAAACATCTTAAACTCAACCTGTTCCAATTGAAATCACCACCTCCCCCTAAACCCAGCTCTATTTCAGCGTTCCCACATTTCAGTGATAGCACTGGTGCCCACGCACTGTGCCTGACAGAAATCCTGTCATCTCTGACTCCCCCCCTCTCCTTCAATCCCCATTCAGGCCCTCCCAATCTAAATCCATCACCGAGAGCTAACGTGTTACTTCCTACACTGTTCCATTTTCCCTGCTCGTCTTCGTCTCCTTGTTCCCCCCCAATCCACTCGAACCACCACGGACACTAACCACCACTATGAATCCTGATTGGTCAGTGCTGGCCCTGTTCATATTCTCACGCTGCAGCTGGAATGATCTTTTCAAAACACACATCTGATCAGATCAAATCCTCCCCCCACTTTGTCCTCAAGAAAAAGATGAAAGTCCTCAGCATGGCCAGTGAGGCCCTGCTTGGTCTGGTCTCAGTGCTTCACACTGCAGCCCCCCCCTGCCGTCTACGCCCTGGCCACGGCGGCCTGCTTTCAATCCAGCAGGCCTGTGACACGCCTTCCTCAAAAACGCCTTCACATAAGATGCCCTGTTTCCTTTTCTCGGTGCTTCAGCTTTTCATCCTTTAGGCCTCCATTCCAGGGTGACTTCCTCAAAGAGGCCTTTTCTGAATTTTCTGACCAGGTCAACGAGGGCTCACCACTGTAAGCCCTCCTGGCACCTATCTCTTGCAACTTTCATTTATTGCTCCAAATACATGTGGCTCACTTGTTTAATTAGACCCTTTAGAACTCCTTTGGCTAGAGTAGTTTGTTTCCTTCCTCAGCTTTTCTGGTGCTCGTGTGATTTCACTTCCTGAGAATCTATCCCATGTAGGATCAGCAGGGAACACCTCTCTAATATTTGGACTCAGCTAGAGCACCACTCTCATTGGCCGTCTCACATCACCTCTGACTTACCGCTTTCCCATCTCTCATCACAGTACTTACTCACTCTATGTTGTACTTTTTGTTTTCTTGGGGGTTTCTTTCACTGCTATCGGTTGCTTTAGGGCAGCTGTTTTATTTATCTCTGTATCCTCGGCACTTAACACAAAGTCTTGCCCTCAACATTTAGAAGGACCCTGTAGCTTATAGTCGTGGTGCAGTGTCTTCCCTCACTGTGCCTAACAAACTCTTACCATTCGATACAGTGTTACCTTCAACATTATACATAATCTTTCTACTTTTCAGTTTCCTCATCTTGAAAAATATTACCATAACAGTATGTTGGGAGGATTAAAAGAATCAATGATTCACTACTTCTCAGGCCAAATCTCTGCTCTTTTAGAGCAGTTACCTAGACAATTTTGTTGCTGGCTTAGGGTTTCGGAATCTCTCGCATCCTGCTAGCTCTTCTGTCCCCCATTTCCTGTTTTCCCCTCTTTTACAAATAGACCTCCATGGCTCTGTTAAAACCAGAGAACAAATCTTTAGCAAGTGGAAAACATTTCTTTCCTATTCTTTTAGGAAAAAAGAGATCTTCCTGAGGTGAGATGTAGTATTTGCACAACTGCACAGGCCTTTCAAAAAAAACAAAGACGTTGAAACAGCAAAGGTTGAAAAACAAGATGCTTAAATTTCGATATCAGACTAGGTGAAATGCTCGTTTCCGTTTTCTTGTACCTTTACGAAGTGCCTGACCCAGAGTACACAACAAGGAAACACTGGGTCCCTTCCCTTCATCCTGCAGCCAAAGGCTTTTAGCAGCCAGGACAAGCTGCTCCACAGTGAACTCTCTCCCAGCTTCCAGGGTAAATTGTTCTTACCACGCAGATGCCACGTTCAGTTTCCTTTCTTACTTTGTTTGCTTATTTTTAAAAAAATCACACTCTTTAAAAATCTTAGAAACTTTATTTTAGAATGTGTACGTAATAATAGAAAGATCCCACGAAGCAGCACACAGGCTAACGCACGCCCCAGGGGGACTGGTGACGAGCCGCCCTTCTCCGCGTCACCTGGAGCGGTTCAAGTGTCTCATTCAGGGCTGTCCCCACGCTGGGAAATCGGACGCTCTTTGGGCAATGCTTCAAATCTGAGGCCAGGGCAGCTGGGTGGTTAAGCCGTGGGCCCGCGTATCAAGACCTTTGAGGGGGAGTGTTTCTGAGGTAAGGGTTTTAAGAGAGAACACTCGGCTTCTGCTGTTACCCACAGTTTGAAATCGACCCGTTTGGCATTGGGAGTCCACCGCGCACCGTGAGGCAGGCGTCCAGCTATCGAATGACTCTTCTGACGTCCTTGAGCGATACACGCCTCCAGCGCGCCTGGCCGGACTTTCTCCACCGGCCTCGGTCCCCTCTAACGTGTGCAGCACTAACCCGCTCTGCCGCCCGCCGGCCGGCCGCTCCGGGGGCTCCTCAGGGGCGTTCCCTTCCATCCGCGCCCACCTGCGCCTTCAACCCCACCCCTCTCGAGAGGCTCTCGGACCAACTTCGGGGATTTTTTTTTCTCCGATGAGGTCTGCAGAACGGGCATTAAAAGGAGGAGTAAGAATTAACTGTATTGGTAGGAGTCAAATCAGGCAGCGTCACACCTCTCAGAAGGGACGGCCGGCACCCCGTCTGGCCGTGA